TGAAGTATTAACAGCTCGAAACATCTAAAAGGTGTTTTGCTTTTTTGGAGTTATTCATTCTGATTGTCGCAGGATCTTTCCATCATCCTGATAATGTAACTTCATATTTCATAAAAGTCAACGGAAAATAAAACCTTCAGTTTTTCGAAGAAGAATGAGTCTTTTTGAATTCCTCTAGCGGCAAATGCATTAGTTGTTTTCACATCATCCCATGGGTCCGGCCATTGAGGTTTCTGGAATACAAACTGTTGAATTGTCTTTGGTTGTTATGAAAAGGTAGTTTGAAAAGATACAGTAACAAATTACAAGTAAATATTTCTAACATATTCTATCTGTCATAGTGTGTCATAGTGTAAGAGCTAGAATTTTTCCCACGTGTAGTTTTTGTGTAAAAAGTTGTTAAAATCCTGTACTAGGCTATAGATTAATCACTATCTTTTACAAAGTTTGATGATTTCTCTAGCGTTCTCTATATTCGAGTTGGTCAAGCGGTAAACAAAGTTGTGGAATCCACTGAGGAAAGTTTCGTGTTTGTCATGTGCATGTTTTGAAGTTTTTCACTGATGTTGACGTTATTAATTGGCCAATATTCTTCGAGTTATGAATTTCCTGTTTCAATGATGTAGTTGAAGTTGAGGAAATGTGTTCTGATGAATGTCAACAGTTTTGCAAGTTCCACCGATAACGATTCGAGCCACTTGTCCCAGCGTTTTTCATAAATCTGAATTCAAATGGGAAACTGCTTGGTCACCTTGGAACCTACCAAAAAAAGACCAGGAGATATCGTCTCAACATTTTGAATATGGGTTGTGTGAAGAAGTACATTCAGTGTAGAAGCTACTGAAAATTTACCTGGAATCGAAGATCTCCCACAGGCGGTTTGGCGAAAGGGACTCCTTGGAAAGCGTCGACCTGAAATATGGTGAATATGTGTGTACAAGCACGAGCATGCCTACGCGAAACACCTCAGTATTTCCAATAGTGGAAGGATTACTGACTGCAAATAATCTGGCGTTCAAGGAAGATACTTCTCAAATAGCATCCCGTCGATTCGCTTACTTCAAGGTGCAGGCTAAACTTGTTATGTCATGTGTGTGAAGTAGCCAGCAGCAATCTCTGGTTTAGCGCTGCTCGCCCGGGATCATTTTCAAGGGCATATAGCATAGATTAGTACTGTATATCACGGCTAACAGAGTCCCGATTTTCAAATCGGTTATCGAGTGGAGCTAGGCTTTGATAGTATAGCGGTTGTTAAGCAGACTGGTTGTCGGTTTGTACGTTGCTGGGCTGTTGTGTTTTATCTGAGCGCTTTATCGAAGAACGTGAAATCTTGATGCACTAGTAGAAAGCGTATATGCACCTGCTGCTGATTCGCGGCGGTCGCTGGCGGATGCTGACTCGCTTCTGCTGCGCAACTTCTGTTAGATAAGGATTGTTGTCTGCCCTCCACATTCGGAGTGAAGCATTCTTTCGGAAATCATCTGATGAAGCCAATGAGGAGAGTTCGTAAGAAATGGGGTTGGACGTCGAAACTCTCCGATTCAAAGTAAGAGCAATCGGTAGCTTGAACACTGACCACATAAACTCGGCTAACCGCGATTTTTTTGGTCAATTTGTGACAGCCAAGATATCTATAACGATGGGACTCGTTCTTGCTAAACGACAGTGGAAACAACGAACTACAATCTTGGCCTGTACAACTGAAAGTATTCTGTTTTTAATTCCGGTTCGGCACACAATTTCCTTTCTTTTCTCTCTGATGTCTCATGGTATTTCTCGGCAATATGCGCCAGCCAACTTACTGGTTACCATTGCTCTTCGGCTATCTCACGTACACCACCGTGATGACCCATTCAGCTGGTACGAGTTGTGACTCACTCGAACCGAAGGGTTTTTCGAAGCTTTGCTGTGTATTACTCACCTCTTTTTTGTCGAAAACAAATCGCCTTCCCACGACACTGCCGAATTTCGTCTTCACCACACGCGATTCTCCACAAGGTTCGGGGAGACTCGATGCCTGACCCATGACTAATGAATTCGAAAGACCTGAAACATTGGAATTTTGCATCTCGGCAAATGACATTTCGATGGAATGAGGTCAGGCGCAATTCGGCGACGGGTGGGGGCATTTTGCACTTTTGCTGCTTCACTAGTTCCGGTTCACAAGTCTCACTTGGTGAAACCTGTGAACTCTTGTGAAGCTGGAGCAAGCTCGTCGAGCCACCATGGTGAAACCTGTCAGCTCTTGTAAGCTTACGAGATGGCTCTCTAGATGAGTCGACATTTCGATGGGACGTAGCAAAAATGCAAAATCCTCTCCCTCTCTCCTCCCTCACCGAACTGCCTCCGAGGTCGCTCACTATCTTGAGGAACATACAGTTAACTGAAGCAGAATTCTTGCTTGCAAAATGTTTTAAACTTCTGAAGTAATAGAAGAAGATGCGATATTCAAGAAAAATATAAAGAAACTTGTGGAACAACAAGATCTGTGCAAGGAAACACCAATCTCTTTAGCCACGCCTAAAGTCCTGCGACTCTTTCAAACAAATGTTCTATAAGAAAGTCAACGAGCATTCCAAAAGTTACTGCTGCAGGTGTTATTGCCACTTGTTACTGGAGAATGTTCCCTGACGTTTCTGCTGGCGATTGTGTTATAGCTTTGTGGAAGCTCCCAACGTCGGGCTACTTTTAGACTTAATCTGGTGAGCTGCACCGGTCCAATAAGTCGAACCGAGTGAGCTGGGCTAGGCTCCCCTTCTCCCCGAACTGGACTGTTTGGAAAAAAGTAGTGATTGCTGAGAGAGCAAGGTTTCTTAAAGGCACTTAGTACGATAACTTGGCACTCGGTCCGGTAGCAGGGGTGCTAAATAGTGGGAAAATCACGAAAAAACGAAGTGAAAAGGTCAAAACCTGCGAAGAAAAGCCTTCGTTCCTTGGTGATTTAAAAAGCAATATCGGACGAGTTTGACGTATGCATCTTGCCAATAACCGCTACGATAGATACGAGCAATATGAGCATCAGGTACGGTCGTCCATTTGTGGGCGGGCGGACGCGATGGGCGTCTGGGTCGGTGTGTTGCAGCTTGATAGGGCCTCATAAAGGAACCTTACTGAAAAAAGCGCTACGCAGAGTGCTCAGGGCGCGGAATTCCGTCCTGCCAGGTGTATCAATTCCACTCGTCTCAGAGATTCATCGTGTCAACTGCTTTTAAGTGAGATAAGCTCCCACATCTACAGGATTTCTCAAGGAAAAACCACCTGTAGTGCCAAAAGCGGACGTGTAGGGGAAGGTTTCACCGCATTACTTGTGTGAGTTCAAAGCAATGCTTCTAGATGTCATGAGTGAAGAAATCCAGAAAGGGGCGCCATTCATCAATCAGACATCGATCACACATTGATGCTCCTCAGGAGGGGCAATTAACTTCACTCGTTTTCTATCGGTAGTGATCGGTTAAAGTTTGACTCAGAAGGAAACAAAGATCAGAAAGGAACAGAAACGGAAAAAAGGGAGAATGTAAGGCCGAATAGTAGAGTTTCGGCCCTTATGTATGCGACTGGCAACTACTTGCTTGCTCTGCGGTGGAAACGGATGACAGAAAGAATTTTATTTACAGAAATTACAGTAGTACGTAGGAATATTTTGAGCGATAATGGCGTGCAGGAATCGAAGAAGGCGGCGGTGTCCAGTGCAGGCGGCGACGTCCACTGCAGGCGGCGACGAAGTCCGATGATCCAGGATCGAGTAACACCAGAGAAAGCTCTGCTTGAGTCTTACGGCTAGCTCTTATATACCCGGCGGCCCCTCCCCTATCTTGCCTGAGGGGCCCGCGAAAAGACCACCTTGCCTGGGGGCGCGCCAACTACAGATCTCACGTAGGGGGCGCGATCTACCTGTGCGACCACCCTATGCACCTCCCTCATGGCTTCCTACTCAACATGCCTCCCCGTCGTGGAGTCGTCGTCCTCGACGACCGTTCAGGGTCACAATTTCGAACCCGTTCGCTTTTCTACGGGTTACACAGCAATCACAGTGCTGCCGGCACTCTTGTTTATGAGTAGGAACTTGACAAATTCTTACTTTCGATTTCCTACTTTCAACACCTCTACTATGTACTGTATGGACCTGCTGGTCGGGTACTCCTTCTGATACAAGCATCAACATCCCTGGCTGCCCACACATCGCCTTGGTGTCTTGCCCTATTTTTGATGAAGCGGAGCTGTTCTTTGC